AAAAAAAAAAAAAAACTATATTTCCTTTTCTTTTTTTATTTATTTTTTCCTTACTAAAATATATCGTTTCCTGAAAAATATTATATGTTTTATCAGAAAAAAAATTATTGATTTTGGTTTTATTTATTTATTTATTTTTGAAGTTCACACAGGCTGTTGGCTGTTGCTTCTTTGAAACCGCTTTCTTTACTGGTTCTCCACCTCCACACAGAAACATTCAAAAAAAAAAAAATTCGAACTTAATCTTCTGGTCCTGGATTTTGGACTTATTTTCAACTCTGCAATCGAAAAAGGAAGGTAGGAGGAGGGAGACGAAGCAGAGAAGAAGATGAGCGTCATCGAAATCTTGACAAGAGTAGAGGCGATCTGCCAGAAGTACGACAGGTACGACGTCGAAAAGCAGAAGGATCTCAACGTCTCCGGCGACGATGCCTTTGCTCGCCTCTACGCCTCCGTAGACGCCGACATTGAATCCCTTCTTCAGGTCCCTCTCTCTCTCTCTCTTTCTCAATTTTCACTCCATGCGATCCCTGTTTGGTCCCTGGGAAAACTGGGGAAAATTCAAGAGGCTAATAGCTGATCCCGACGTAGTCGGATGAAAATCACTAGAATTTTGGAGTGAAGTTAGGGTTTTTCACCTCTATGGTGTGCTGAACTGAAACCGGAGTTCTTTTTATTTGCAGAAAGCGGAAATTGCTTCGAAAGAGAAAAATAGGGCATCTGCTGTTGCGCTGAATGCTGAGATTCGGAGGACCAAGGCTCGATTGCTTGAGGAGGTTCCCAAGTTGCAGAGGTTGGCTGTAAAGAAGGTCAGCATTTACTGTTTTAATGATTTTTGGTAATGTTCGCATGTGTAATTGTGCATTTCGTCAAATTGTTTGAGAAATTGATAGTAGCCTAGCACCTTCTGGTCAAAATTGAAAATTTGAAAGATGGTTGCACTTGTATATGGGATTTTAGTATTGTTTAAGAGTATATGAGATGCCTTTGCGTGTAAGTTGCCAATTTTGCTTGTTTAGTACACAACACAAGGCGGCATGATTGCTTTGGGGTTTAGGCAGCGTGATTCATAATTGATGCTAATTGGTTTACAGGTGAAAGGGCTTTCAACCCAAGAGTTTGCTGCTCGTAATGACTTGGTCCTTGCGTTGCCAGATAGGATCCAGGATATACCAGATGGGACTCCTGCTGCACCCAAACAAACTGGAGGCGGCTGGGCAGCTTCAGCTTCTCGTACTGAAATCAAATTTGATTCGGGTAATTTTTTGCATTATGAAGGCTGTTTGGTGCTTTTTGGGTGATTATAATGTATGGACAGCTCAGTTCCATTTGATTATTTTCAGTTTAGTTTACTTGTGTGTTTCATGTATTTTGGTAGAGGGGCGGTTGGATAATGAATTCTTCCAACAATCTGAGGAGTCGAGTCAATTCAGGCAAGAGTTCGAAATGCGGAAAATTAAGCAGGCAAGTTATAGATATTGTGTTGTGTTTGTTTACAATGGAGATTTCTTTTAAAAGGATGCAAATTGCATACTTGCTAGTTAGATGCAGGAGTTACGGATATTGGTTTGCATTTTTATTTATTTTGACATGCTCACAGGATCAAGGTTTGGATATGATATCAGACGGTTTGGATACATTGAAAAATATGGCTCAGGATATGAATGAGGTTAGTTGTTTCTGTGTGATGCTACTTACTCATTTGCTATAAACATATGTTAACTTAATTTATCATATGCCATGTGTAGGAATTCGATAGGCAAGTTCCTTTGATGGATGAGATTGACTCTAAGGTGAGAAACATTGTCCTCTCCTAGTATTGCTTCCAAGATGTTCAGTTTGAATTCTCAAAATTACATTACTAAATGCTGCTTCCCTTCTTAATAGGTGGACAAGGCATCTGCTGACCTTAAGAATACCAATGTCAGACTGAAAGACACAGTTAACCAGGTGAGTGTATTTGCAGCTTTTTTAAGTTTACAAATGCACATTAGAATCCTTTTAAAAATAAAAAATAAAAACTCTTTGTTGCTGGATCTAATGCATGTTTTGTTTTTGTTACAGCTGAGGTCCAGCCGAAATTTCTGTATTGATATTATATTGCTGTGTATAATTTTGGGCATTGCTGCGTATTTGTACAAGTAAGCTCATATCCTATACAATGAACATATATGATGAGATAGACAAACGTCTATAACTAGATGTCATTGCATTGCTCAGATTATGGTTATATGTGATAAGACTTTATAGCTACTTCAACCCTAAAATGCAGATTTAAATACACTGAATTATTTTTTCAATGCCCTAGAATTGAACTTTGATCATTTGAATGTCTGCGTTTTTTATTGAAGATGTGTCATTTTTGTATTCTGATCGCGGTATCTTTATTCGCAGTGTACTGAAGAAGTGAGGTGGCATAAAGAGCGGTTTGACCAGTTCCAAGATTTGTTGGCTTGTCCGGTATTGTTTTGCATTTTGAGGACTCAGTTTGGTGCTTGATATGTGTTATTTGATTGTTTATTTCATGTTGAAGAGTGTCTGTTCATACTACCATGAATGTATTTTTCAAGTACATGAGTCAGTTTTACGTCGTAGTTGGTTGTGTCCTCTAATTTGCTTTTGTTGGTACTCTGTGAGGCTGTATCTGAATCCATACTTCAATTTATTAAACCTTTGTTGACCCATAGTTAATAGATTGAATTGGTAGTTGGTTGTGTCCTCTAATTTGCTTTTGTTGGTACTCTGTGAGGCTGTATCTGAATCCATACTTCAATTTATTAAACCTTTGTTGACCCATAGTTAATAGATTGGATTGGCAGCTTCCTTTCGATTTTATATGAAACTTCTTATGGAACTAATGCATTCTTTTTGGGCCTGATTCAATTTTCCTCTGTCAGATGTATCTAAATTACTGTGTTTTGATTTAGTTTCTGTAGGCTTTTTCACGCCACTTTTGCCAATGCATGTTTTAGAAAATCACTGAATATAAAAAAACCTAAACTCTTATGTAGAATAAGTCAACAATGTATATCAAACTAACAACCACAAAACCCATAACCCACATTAACACTTTACGTGACGGAGAAGTTGAAATGTAAAGCAATTTTCTATATTCTCATCCCAATGTCTACAAGTGATTTATTACAACGAATGTATGCGAATATACATACAATCTTGAAATGCTGCAGCTAATTACATCCAGCAAACACCAAACTAATTTACATGCTTATTCTACATATTATAAAAATTACACTCAATGTATACCAAAAGAAGAAAATTCGGAACTGCACACTAATTTACATAAAAATACAATCATGGAGACCTCTGTTCGTGAACTTGAATCCCCTTATCTACATAATAATGGAATTAATCCACACTTTTCTTCACTGCTCTAGCCAGCTACTCACTTGCATTGAAAGCCAATTAATTGACTGAGTTCTTGATATTGGATCATGGAGCTCCATTGATCTGCATTGAAATTATTTTCAGCTGATCCAGACTGGTCTACTCCCCAGAAATTCATTGCGCAAACATCCCGGCCGATTGATGTGCTAACTTCCTCCTGATATTCTCTGCTACATATCCTCTTGCTTGGTGTAACAAGACTCAGGTGGTGTCCATTTCCTTCTGCTGCAGGCTTTCTCTTGAAAGGATTGATCAAACTTTCAAGGGAAGAAGCTAAAAGCTGCCCGTTGTTCTTATTCGATGAATCGTTCTCGTGAATTGAAGTAGTGCAAGATTTTGTGTCTCCACTGCCCTGAAAGCTTATGCTTGAAGTGGTTTTAGTGTATGGAAGTTCAGAGGAGGCAAAAATGTAGGGCAACATTGGACAATCTTTGTACAGATAGTTTCTGACCATTTCGATGCTAGGGTTTGTGTCCTTTGAACATGTCTCATCCACTTGCTTGGTGTAGGCACCTAGTTTATAGCTAGGAGGACTGTTTTGATCTTCCCAAATGCTCCTGCTGCTGTTGCATTTTTGTCGAACCCGACATAGCACCCAATCATCCAACTGTCATGAAGAAAATGAGAGAATTATTAACAATATCGAAAGAAAGTACAATTCTCTGCTTATACTGGAAAAATAATAATTAAATGAAACCTAATACAATATCAACATAGAAAACAACAGTAGAGGATTCAGAACTAGAAACCCTATATCTGTCATCCATATAATTAAGCTTAATTACAAGGTGGAGAGAGAATGAGGAATATCAATTACTAGCTTATTATGTTGCTAGACTATGAATCAGCACAACATATTCTGATTCAGCATGACTGAATCACCACTTATAATTTCAACATAACCAATGGTCCTGATTCACAGTCTAACGTCACGTGTCAAATCGGCAAAAGAAACTTCCCTGTACCTACCGTACGTATACCGTATTCTGTGAGGATATGAAGTAATCGATTAAGCAACTTACCCTCATAGACCCTTTTTGCTTTGAAGACCACATGGTTGTGTCAAGCAATCTATACTCATTCATGATCCACTCTGTCTTAACACCCTTTGGAGGGTGTCCTGTGTAGAACACAAGTGCTTTCTTCACCCCAATGCTTTTTGTTCCACAAGAACTGAAAATATGTTTATCAGTTCCTGTAGCCTTCCAGTAACCCAAACCAGCTGCTCTGTTAGGCCTGCTCCCATTCGGGTACTTCCGATCTCTCGGGGTGAAAAAATACCACTCTTCTTCTCCAAAGGAGGCTTTGACTGGCAGTTCCCACGGATTATACTTGTAGAGATCCAATTCAGCGATGATGGTTGCAGGTAGTGGCCTTGAAGTGACTTTGTTTTTCAAATAGTGGACGATGAGTTCTTCATCAGATGGGTGAAATCTGAACCCAGCAGGAAGCTGAATGTTATCAGAAGTTTGTTGTTCCCTCTCCATTTTCGGGATGGAGGGAGGATTGCTTGTTCCTTGGTGATGGAGGAAACTAGGGAGTCAATCAGGCCCTGAAATTATCGACCAAATGGTTTGTAAGTTTGATTGCACTGTGCAGTTGTTTTATAGGGAGTTTCTCTCATGCAGATAAGGACAATTTTGTTAACATATATTATATAAAGTTTATGTATATGATACATTTGGTCAGGGAAAGCAACCTGATTGTCCTGACTGATCACAACCGTTGGATATCACATATCCTTTTTCTGATCAGAGATGCATAGGAGCCAGAGACTTCAAATTAAGCTTCATCTTGTGGAGCGGGGTTACCACAGTGGTTGTGGCCCTCTCCCTTTCCTCCCTGCTTGTCACCCAGGATCGAAACTCCTAGGTTTCTTTCCTCCCAATATAACCACACACAAAAATAATAATAAAAAAATAAAAAGGTTCATCTCCTATCTTTGATTAGATAAGTTTTAGTTTTGATTGCTTCAATTACCATTATATGTTTCATGTGTTTCAATTTGTTTGAATTATTTTGGCACACCAAAGAGCATATGATTGAGGTGGTGATATTGGCAATGTGGAGCACAATTAGCATGTATGGTTCAATCATTCCGCAAAACATTATCAACAATATTTCCTTTTTGGGGAAGGAGGGGTGGCCAATATAACTGAGAGAGATTGTCTTGTCCCCCAAATCATTTAGCACTTGCCACACTGTCACCCAGGATCGAAACTCCTAGGTTTCTTTCCTCCCAATATAACCACACACAAAAATAATAATAATAAATAAAAAAAAAGGTTCATCTCCTATCTTTGATTAGATAAGTTTTAGTTTTGATTGCTTCAATTACCATTATATGTTTCATGTGTTTCAATTTGTTTGAATTATTTTGGCACACCAAAGAGCATATGATTGAGGTGGTGATATTGGCAATGTGGAGCACAATTAGCATGTATGGTTCAATCATTCCGCAAAACATTATCAACAATATTTCCTTTTGGGGGAAGGAGGGGTGGCCAATATAACTGAGAGAGATTGTCTTGTCCCCCAAATCATTTAGCACTTGCCACACTGTTCTTCATGCTTGCACTCGACTGCATTCCAGGTGTCCTTTCCCTCTTAACTTGCATTCCTAGCATTGACAGGTTTATACATGGCTTGCACTTCTAGCCTCTTCTCTTAAGGGTCATGTTCTCTTTTAACATGTTTATATTCTCAGATAAATACTTATATTGTTGGACTGTGAATTTGAATCACACATTCAGACAAGAATCAATATGATAAATAGTCCGGATTCATGGCGCTCCATCGGGGTGACTTAATTAGTGTAGAGTCAAAGGAATTCACTCATTAACACAAGAGATTAAAGTTCCATGGAAAATGTTTTGATGGGATGTTGTTTTGTCTTTGGCTTTAGCCCTTGCATTCCATGCCACTTATCTTGATCATAACAAAACTCCAAGAAATAGAACATTATAGAAAGGAGGAGAGACAGAAAAAGGCCAACTTGATCCCCAAGATTCGATTGCATGTCTTTTCCTTCTTGGAAACTCACTGTCACCATTTTTCTTCGTCCCCATTTTGGAGTCTCTTTCAACAACACGTCCCCTGTTTTTCCCTTTGAAGTTTCAGAAAATGCATGCGCAATTATTTCATCTTTGAATTTTCATGGAATTCCATAATAATAATAATATATATATAAATACCCAATCACATTACCACCCATGGCCGTACAGTACTATGTACAATGACTTGTATATATATATATATGTTTTGATAAATGTGGAAAATGGAACTTTCGAAAAATACAGACACAAACCCAAGTCTCAAACTTTGATTAGAATTTATGAATACATAACAAATTTAAAGTGGTTGCAATTGAAGACAAGAAATTAACATTCTTTCCACATGGATCGGATCGACCGAGGTTTTTGGTTTGTTTTTTTCATGGCTCAGAACGTTAACTTTGAGGCGCTTCATTTGTTGGCAAGCTTCAACACTTTCATGGCGGCCAAATATTTCCAAAAACAGATGGAGAAAAAAAAGAAAAAAGAAGAAGACCAACATCACTTTCAGAGAGGAGTTACGTTTATGTATGGCAGGGACAAAGATACCAAACGTGGCACACTTTGACCAACCTTGTTCAATCCTCAGTCCATTCAATCCATGTGTGCTAGAAGTTTATGAAGTTAATTAATGAATTAATTACCTATTAATTCTTAATCATAGATGAAAGCATAAGGTAAAGGTATATGCATTTGAAACGAAGTGACCAAGGGGAGCTTGATAATGATTTGTATTGCTTCTTTATCTATAGATGGTGGATCCCACATCCCGTACAAGGTTTCAAGTACTCAAAGAAGACTAAAATTTCTACTAGGTCCATTATTGACACCAATTCATGCAGCGACGAAAAACTCTTTAACAATGTCAAAAAAGAAAAAGGGAGAAAGTAGAAAATCTTATAATGTTTATGAATTGTATGATGACGTGGTTATTTAAGCCGAGCAAATTAGCATGATGACGTGGTATGATAGTGTTTGTTACATATATTTTTTTTTTTTGGTTAATTGTTTTCCCAATAACACTGGTTAATTAGCTAAGATCTTGTGGATTCCCCCGTACCATTATTTTTCCTTTTCTTTTACAACTTGCAGTGCTCTATAAGTAGGAGTAGTAGTTTCCAATGTGAACAGATCACGAAATTAAACAATACAACTTAATCACCCCATATATAAATATGTATGGCTCTTCTCCACATATGTGTTTGTTCAGTATATAGGAGAGGCAGCCCCGTAGTTTTTTTTCTCCGAAGAGGGAGACTCGAACTCAAGAATAAAGGACCAGACATACTGTCATGACCAATTGATATGCCTAACCCGCATCTCCGAACTAATGAATAATTATTTTTTCAGAGGAATCAATAATTTTTGATGGTATTGAAATGTTTGTGAAACAGATGAGTGAGAATAGAGTATGCAGAAAAATTCCCCTCGCACCTCGCATTATTCGGATTCTCTATACACCGACAGCTTGCAGCCAACTCCAAAGCTTCATTTAAAATTGGCATCAAGAAGAATTAACAAAAACAAAAACAATTCAACACCACAAATCTCTAGAGTCTGGACAACAATTCCGACAAACCAAATATCTGATTTTATACGAATAGATAATAATCTCTGGCCCTCTGGCCCTCTTCCATGTTTAATTCAAATTTGGGGGGACACAAGTGGGTCAGGTGGGGAATTATTATTTTTTTCTTCTCTTTTTGAGTTCAAGTGGGGAATAAAATTTCATTACCCTGAATCTTGATCTTAAAAATCATTAATTTTCTCTCTACAACCTGAATTTATAACTATTATTATTAATTATTTGTTTATTAGTATAAACTAAGCTCTAGATTGTAACAATTAATTAATAATACAATTTTTTTAACTTTTTTTAATATATAATTTTAATTAAGATTATAGGTTTTATATGTTGTGTTTACACACCTGAACGGAGCGTATTATCACTTACAAAAGATTTCCAAATTGATCCTAGTAGCCTGGAAAATAATTCAAAATCTAAGGGACCAGTGGTCCCAGGCCCCCGCTCCTTATTTTTTTAAAAAATATATGTATATTAATATCTTTTATGATATCTTTTTTTTTTTTGTCTGAACTATGAGGTGGTCATGGATGGGCCCCAATTATGGGTGGCACCTTTAAGCCTTAATCACAACCCAGACTAATCCCCGCTCACACCGGGTCAGCCCGTAAGGGGTAAAGTGCTGGCCAAAGTGGTGACTCCATACGAGAGCAGGGATCGAACCCCTGACCTCTCTTAAGGAATGAGAGTGCCGAACTACTTACACCAACCACCCTGGTTTATTTTATGATATCTTTAATATTTCAAGAACCTTACTTCTTTTCTTAAATTTACCATACCTATTATTATTATTATTATATATTTTTTTTAACACAAATTCTAAAAATCTAAGTCTTTTTCACACATGAAATTTTGGCTCCGACACTATTCAAATAGGAAAATTAATAGAATATATATATTCATTTTTATCAGAGACAACCCCATGTGGTGGTGGCTACTCCCAAAGAAGGAGGTTGTCTTGGATGAGATGTTTTGCCATGACTATGAGTAAGCATTGTCTTTCTTGATCTTTGGTTCAAAACAGACGACCATAAGTAAACATTTTAATTGTCTATATCTCTTTGTTGGTTCTGAAGAATTAATGGGAAATTCTCAATGGATATCACAAATCTTCAAATTGGATTATTAATGCAAACTGATTTGGCAAAGTTTAGTTACATATACTTAATTACATGTACTTAGTACATAGATTGAAGACCATCGAGGCATCAATATTTAATGCGCTCCAATACATTAATTAGACATGTTCTTTTTGGTGTGATCATGATCATAAAGTCTTTTTTTGTTATTGAAACAAAAAAATTATGCGTTAAGGGGGTATCTTGATTCATAGCATGTTTGAAATTCTAACCTTATAACGCATTAACCAATATTTTATCAGATAATTTCTAATAGTATTATGCGTTAAATATGAAGACTAACAACATAACATATTAAATATGAGTCGTAATTTATGTAAAGGGCGTCCTTACTCACACATCTGCATGGATATAATAACCTCATTCTCTTCTTCTACCTACCTTAGATCCAAATTTTTTATTTTTTAATTTTATAAAATAAATTATAATTTCTTTCTCCGGAAATTAGGGTTCTGATCTGTAGAACAACACATTGGGTTTTGGGTATTTATATATGTATATATATACGTGTGCATGCAGTATCTGTTGATGGATGACTTACTTGGTCTTGCTAGGCCTCGACTCATGTGCGGGGCTTAGTTGTTTTCTGGGGGTTTCCCTTATTTCACCAAAAAAAAAGAGATATTGGAGATAATTAAACATTGGATACCGAATGGGGACGAGATAGCATCAAATGTCTGGAAGGAAGCTCCGAATGCATGCAGCCAAAAGCATTGTCTATTTTATTTCCTTTTTTATATTTTATGATTTTCTATAATTTTATTCTCCATTAGCTTCATTGTATTATTGCTTAATTAA